GAACACCTTGGGATCCCCCAGGTGGAGCTGGAGCTGGGAGAGGGAGGTCATCTTTATTCATTATTTCTGAAGTTTTCCTCTTTTATTGTGTTTATGTTTTACTCAAAGAGATCTATACAACAGTAACAAGTAAGGAACAAACATAGATGTCCAGAAAATTAATCAAACAATTGAACATTTTCTGATTTAACAAGGAGCTAACAAACTTGGAACAAGTTGTTACTTTTGCATGTCAAACTCACTTTGTCTCTCATCACAGTTCACTGACTGAAAAAGCTTTTACATCTGATAACAACAAGTGAATTAAAGCTGCAAGCAGCATTGAAGGTCCTCGCGGCAAAGCACCGCTCCGGCCTTACGGTGACCACGGGAGCTCCATCGACTCTGCTCAGTCGCTGTCGCAAATGCTCTAGCGCCCATCCTGCGCCCATTCACCGGGGTGTGTATTCGCTGAACCTTCAACATCACCTGCGACTGCGGGCGCTCCAGCAACACCTCCCAGTCGCCATCATGAACGCTCTCATGCCATTCCCGCACGTGTCCACCAGGGTGCGCATATGCCTAAACTTTCCTATCGCCTTCCTCCCATATCAGTATGAGAGGGGGCACACTTGAGTCATATGTTATACCACAATATCAATGTGTTTAGATGTGGTCATCGATTATGCACAAAAAATCTGGTTCCGATCGAATGATAATTCACTGAGATATAACTGTTCGAATAATCTAGGGGGCGCACTTGAGTCAAATGTTAAAGAACAGTACCAATGTGTCGATAAGTGCTCACTGATCACACACAATCAATCTGGTACATATTGGATGATATTTCACTGAGATATAACTTTTGGAATAATCTAGGGAGTGCACTAGAGTCAAATGGATACCTGTTCAAGGGGTGGATAATGATTGATCATAGTGATTTTGGTGCACCTTGGCTGAAATCTGTGTATTTCAGAGCCAAACGTATTGCAACAGCGTCACTTCTTGATTCGCCACGCTGCCACGCCCACATCCTCCAGCAAAAACAGTTTGCACTTTAAATCAAGTCAGACCATCTTATGCTGTTTTCTAACACAGGAGCATCCTGATTAGGTCCATGGTGTCAAAGCGGGAGCATTCCAAGTAAAAAAAAGACTTCCTGTTTTGAGGGGGCGGGGCTTTGATGACGTCAAAATATGACGACAGTGGATCGTCGGACATCCAACAGGGATGAGTCATGCCAAGTTCGGTGCATTTCGGTCTTTCAATGTGAAAGTTATAGCGTTTGGAAATGTATGCTGTGAAGCGCAACTTTGAGGCCTGGCTACGCTCCTTTAACCTAAACAAAACTGAAAGCTTTTGATAACTTTTACTCCCCAATGTGTTAAGGGCATATTAACCAAGTTTGAAGGCAATCACTCAAAATCCCTAGGAGGAGTTCATTAAAATTTGCCATTAGAAATGCCCCAAAATGACCCTTTGACCCAAAATGGTCGACTTCCTGTTGGTTTTGGACCAGGGCTCCAAGAGACTTTTTCATAGGTCGCGATACGATACAGACGTTCACAGAGTTTCAGAATTATCGGTCAAAAAATGGCTTGGGGCTGAGGTTTTGAAATATTCTAGGGGGTGTGGTGGAGGCTATTGGGTAATTAATTTCAATCAATTCATTTGACGGAAAAAATTGCAGCTCGGGCCTGAACAGAGCGATTACAATAGGCCTTTGCAGCGCTTTGCTGCTCGGGCCTAACAAGTAAGTGTTTCAGTCAGTTTGTGAGGGAGAACACAAACACAACCCACAGAAAATCACAGAAGGTAGAGGGAGGGCAACATTTCCTATAATCCCATGAGGAATTGACTCAGTCTGTCACGTAAAAAATACACAAAAAAACAAGCAAACTAAGTGAAGCAGGAAAACAACAAACCCATTTATTATTCAAACTTCCTTCCCACACAAACCTTCAACACACACACCCACATCTCGGCATGGGGTAAAAATCTGGAACGTGTGTTCTCAGCTTCCTTCTCTTTTTCATCTACTTCTCCAGCTTCCTTTTTTCTTTCTCGCTGAGTCACGGGAGCAGCCGTTGTATCCGATTACAACACGAAGCATTCCTCCAACAACGCATGACTCATTGTCTTACTTGGAGTCCAACGAGCTGCTTTTACTACTTTTACTTTTACTACTCACATTTCTCTTCTTCAGAGAGCCGGACATTCATCATCTTCTCATTTCCTCAGTGGACATTCCCCAGTGTGCTGAAGTGTAGTAACTCTTGGTAAAAGTTTTCAAGTTAAACAAACCAAAAGAGTATGTGATACAAATACCCAGTTGGCTTTAATGCTTTTATTTTATCTTTCATTGGAGTTAAATTCTTATATTTTGGAGATCGCTCCAATTTGTTTATTCTATTAGGCTGCAGTTGTTCCAAACCAATCAGCATCTGCTACTGGAAGCTACTGATGGGTTTTTTGTGTGTGTGCGACAGACAGTAAATTATTCTACTATAACATAAAACATAAACCAGTACCCAACAAAGTTAAGCCAGGTCCTCTGGACAGTTTTTTTCTGTTGAAACGTTTTGTCCTTCATCCAAAGGACTTCATCAGCCCGAGGAGCTGCAACAAACTCAGTCCCACAAGCAGCACACTCACATAGTGGGCCAACCAGTTTGATGTTAATAAGATGGTTTCTGGATGAAGGACGAAACGTTTCAACAAAGAAAGAAACCGTCCATAGGACCTGACTTAACTTTGTTGGATTTTCTCCAAAGTTTACTGAGCATGAACTTTGATGTTTTGAACCACTTTGGCCATGGCTGCCTCTGAGGAGCCTACAGGGGAGAGGGCGGACTCCAGAAACCATCTTATCACCCTCAAACTGGTTAGTCCACTATGTGAGTGTACTGCTTGTGGGACTCAGTTTGTTGTGGCTCCTCACACTGATGAAGTCCTTTGGATGAAGGACGAAACATTTCAACAAAAAAAGAAAGCATTCAGAGGACCTGACTTAACTTTGTTGAATTTTTTTACCTGGATTCTTGAGCATGAACTTTGATAAAGCAGTCCCGTGTCAAATAAAGTCCAGAGTCCTCAAACTGCCAGATACAGTGTGGCTTCAGAGGTGCATCAAGGACAATGGACATGACTTTCTGTCTACAAGTCCAGAAAAAGTGTATTGAACAGAATATGCCACTCAACATAGGCTTTATTGCTTTCAGCAATGTATTCATTATTTTTTCTTGTCAGGAATTGCGGCAAGTACTCAAAAAGTATGATTGCTCCGTGACTTTTACTAACCTGATCAAAGAATTTCACAATAGCTTGCAAGCTAATGTCATGATGTTTAACACCCAGTCCTGAGATTTCATAGTGAATAGAGAGAAGCACTGAGATATGACTGTTTTCATTCATTCTGACTGAAAATATTGAACAGGACCATTTTCAGCCACTAGATGGCACTTGGGTAGTAAGGCATGCTGTTGCATCATGTAATAGGTAAAAGTGCCTATTAGTGGCACAGTCGGCTTGCCATAGTATGCCAAGGTCGTCTGCCTGGAGTAACCGAATCAGCTTAATTTCAATGCGTCACCCCGGCGAAATGCAGCTGATTTGACTGTCAAAGTACATTTATTAAGTAAAAGTTCAACTGAGACACACCTTTACTATAAAGTCGAGCAAAAAAACAATACTTTTAGGTGTTTATCTTGTTAGATTTCGAAGAAATGTGCAGCAAGTCGCCCTCTGAGCGTTCATGTTTCTGCATATCGGCTTTTGCAAATGCAGCTGATTTGACCTTCAAAGTGCATTTTTTAAGCAAAAGTTAGACTGAGACACAACTTTACTACAATTTAGAGCAAACAAGTAATTGTTTTTAAGTGTCATTCTTGTTAAATTCTTGTTAAAGTCCTCCTGTGCAAGCTTCCGTGGCCACCATTTGGCAACCAATTGATTTTTGCCACAACATCGGCCCACATTTTCGGGTTGTCAGCAGTGACGCGTAACAAACGTTGGTTTGTCGTCATTATCTGCATCGTTTTTAAGTCTATATTCTGATTTACCTCATTTTGTATTTTGCTTTGTGTGTTACCTGTTGTTTTGTCTGTACAGCACTTGGTTGGCCTTGTAGCTGTTTTAAGTGCTTTATAAATAAAGTGGTATGGTATGTAAACGTGACGCGTCAGCGGTGACACATAATAGATGCAACGTTTATGGCAAAGCGACATATTTCTGGATTTTTCCACTTTATTAGACATATTTGGACTTATGCAACTTATAGGGCGGTGCGATATGTACGGCGGAAAATATAGTAGTTTCAAAGCTATAAGTGAAGCGGTTTGCAGTCACATGATAAAGGCTATTCAGCATCTCTAAAACAAATGCAAGGTCAAAAACTATTAAAGCTGTGAAAGAAATGCTCTCTTTGCTGATGACAGTGTCCATGCAGAAAATGATTAAGTTTGCCACAATTGCACCCTCATTTCTTTATATCATGCTTTTATCGAGCAAGACTTTCTTAACTTGCTTTGAGTGACTTTAATTAATAGTTCTTCAGGTTTTCTGATGATTTTCCAAAGTTTTCCAATATTTTTGTCTGCTTTTTCAATTTGTTTCAACAGACCATTTTCAACAAAGCGTTAAGTTGTTGAGCCATTTTACTACGACTTACAAGGAAAATACATTAATAGTTTAGGAATAAGGTCACCGTGTAGGAGTTTATGATTAATTAAGTTAACATTTGTTAAAAATATTGTAGAGAAGCTCAGGCATCTCATTTCTGTGTAAGCCCTCTACATTACTGGGCTTCCTGTGAAATTATTACTCAGCAGATTACTCAGTGTTCAGGAAACCTAAATGAGAGACGGAGAGAACGAGAAGGAGGTGGGGAGTCATTAGGCAAGAGGAGGGACAAACACACACAGAGAGAAGGAGGTGGGGAGTCATTAGGCAAGAGGAGGGACAAACACACAATGACAGAGCGACGGGTTGAAAAAGAGTGGTGGACCTGAAGCTCTGGAGAAAGTGAGACAGACAGAGCAGCAAACAGAACACACGCAGAGGAAGACTCCCTCAAAACACACACACATACACAAAGTTAGACTGAGAGGCAGGGAGCAAATCTGAAGCCAAGAGGATACACTTGCTACACATCTCTCTCACACTCAATCAGGCTGCAGCAGAATGTTTCTCAGGAGGCTCCCCGAGGCCGTGTGTCTGCTGTCGGTGTGTGTGTGCGCGGCTCTTGCCTATGAGGATGTGCACGAGATCACTTACAGCAACAACTATGAGAATGAAATCACGCAGGAGGAGGAAACGCAAAGTGAGTGTTAAAACTTTAAGCAACGTCTTATTTTATCAGGTCACACTTGAAATGCAATGCAGTTACAGGTTAAAGAGGGTTTATTTGTTTGTTTTACTGTGATGGGGCTGGTGGTGGTCGGGGGTGGTGGTCGGGGGTGGCTTAGTTGTAAGGTGAGATCAGGACATTGATTTACGTCATTCTGTCAAGACACAGCAAGAGAGCAGCAACAGGCTGAAAACACTTCAAACTGAAAGTTTTCTTTTTGGTTTACCTCAGTTAAGTAGCACCATCATAATACGACTCCCAGAAATCAAAAAGTATAAGGAAAACATGTGAGTACTTTTTATTTTACAACCCAAACATTTGGTAACAGTAAGGTTGTGCAAACATTCAGATTTCTGTCGTATAACGTGATCTAACAGTTGAAATGTTGTGTTAGTTGGCCTAAAGGACGAGAAATTCAAAAAGAAGAGCTACAGCAAGTCCAGAATTAGGAATAAAGTTTTGTTAAATGAGCTGCATCAACCAATATGTTGCGCCTAAAAGTAGAAGACTCTTTGTCCACAATTGAGGAATTCTTTTCTCAAATTAAAGAAAAAGCCTTTAAGTTTTCTGTGTGCACACATGTGTGGTTTTGCATTAATGCCAGACAGCGGGGACGGAGCGACTGTGTGTGGTTTTGTGTGTGGACCTTTCACAGCTTGCATTGTGCATTTGTTTGTTTTTCTAAACCCCGCAGGGGGTGTAACTGCAGCCCCAGCGGTTAAGAGGCAGAAATCTGGGCATGCCGCCTGTAACATGACTAAATGGGATAGAGGGCAAAAACTCTGAGTCATTGAGCAGTAAAATACACACACAAATTAGAGCAGAGGAAAATGAGAGGGTGGGGGAAAATGGTATAGAAACTCAGAATTTATAATGAGCTCGCTGTGGGACGGAGAGGAGGTCAAACACGTGAGTTGAGCACTTTGTTTGCAGGTGTGTCAGGGAGAGGTCAAAGGCTGCAAGAAGATACAGGTCACTACTCCTAACCTCTTCAAATCTGTGAATCTTTGAGAGAAATTGAAATGAACAGGCAACATGAGAAAGAGGTCACGGCACGGCTTAGTTTCAGACCATTGTGCTGAGCCGCTGCAGAATTAAGTGACCTCAAAGGTGTCTTATCCTTCTGAAAAGGAACAAAGTGCTTATTTTTCATTAACTGAAAACCATCAGCTTGGTTATAGATGGTGGGAGGTGAGGAGGAGAGACGGACCCAAAGGCAGGGTTAGGAGGCAGCAAAGGGGCATGCAAATCCAGAAGCTTTATTTTAAAGATGGAGTGCTAAAATGAAAAGTGACCGAATAACCCCTGGAGCTGAGACAAGTCACAACGTCTTGATGTGTGCACGACATGTAAAGACGACAAAAATTAGAGAAATGTTTAGCCTCATTAGGGTCACCGTGGTAACCACACAGTTGTGTTTCTCGCTCTCTGACAATACTCTTAAAAAGACAGGCAGACAGAAATGCAGACTGGAAAGTAAACCTCACAACACACCGTGACTGTGCTAAGACAAGTAATACTAAACAGAATCCTAAATTGTAAGAGGCAACAAACTCTGGTTATCAAACATGTTAATTTTTATGTAACTACAATGTTTTGCATTGGGGGGCAGCTGTGGCTGAGTGGTTAGAGCAGTTGTCATCCAATGCAAGAGTTGGGGGTTCGATTACATCGGCAGTCACATGTCAAGTGTCCCTGGGCAAGACAATGAACCCCTCATTGCCTCCGATGTGTGTCCCATCAGTGTATGAATGTGACGAAGCTCTCACTCTGTATAGAGATCTAGAAGAGTGATGTATGAATGAGTAAATGAGGGCACACATTTTAGTGTAAAGAGCTTTGAGAATCTTGATAAGATAGAAAAGCGCTATTTAAGTGCCATTTACCATTTTGCAGAAGAGTAAAAGGTACGGTAAGTAAAAAGCCCCTTCATTTTTAGTTTGGACAAGAAACTTTTGTGCTCAGATACAATGAAAGTCAATGAAAGTTTGGATGTGTGCACTTTACACTCTGAGAAGATGTAAGAATAAATTAGGCCTTGAACCAACGAGAGAGACACTGTGTGAAAGAAAAGAAAAACTTACTATTTTTTAACGTATTTATGATGCAATTTTGATTGTCTAGTTGGATTTCTCTTAAGATGCAGGAGTAGCAACTGAATAATTGTGACACATATTGAAGAATAACTACCAACATGTAATAAGAGGGCTTTAGTCCTTTTACATTGGCAACGTTATTGAAGAACAATTGTGTGGTATAACTCAGGTGTGAAACAGGAAGACAATAAACAGGGAAGAGTAGTGTTCACAATAAAAGAGGAAAAAAACTCTTTCATCTCAGTTTTAACTGCATTTCCTCGATCATTAATATTATTCAGTAAAGTATATTTGGTTCTTTTGGATTGATAAATCAAAGGGAGTTTCTGCATGAACACTCATTTTGTCTTACTTTTAAATTGGTACATATTGAGAAGTCAAAATAAACAGTGCAGGCCTGTAATAATGCCCCCTTGGAGTAGATCTGAGAGTATAAACAGAGGCTCAGACGTTAACCAGAACAGCATGTGGGACACACATATATTCCCATTCCTTGTTGTTTTAACCCTCAGCTTTGTTTTACACCCTCCCAGTGCCCCACCACCATGTTTCTCTCTACTCCCAACAGGTCCTCCTCGTCTTTTTTCTTCCGTCTCACTCCTCGTCCCCAACACAAAGCTAGATATTCTCACAGGAAAAGCAGCTGTCAGAGCTCTTGGTTTCTTAAGGAAATTGCCCTGTTTCCTTCTCATGTTCTCTCCAAACAACTTGATATCCTCATTTGTTCCCACCTGGGCTTTTATTTTACCCGCTGTCCAACAACCTACTTCCACCCTCTTTACCATGGGATTTACACTACTTGTGTTTTTAATTAGGCAAATGTTAAAGAAAGGTCTTGCTTGCATGTTCTGAAGCTGCATATGTGGTTTCACCTGGTAGAGTTAACCCATCTGAAACTAATATTTCTACTTCCTAAGAGAAGGGTGAATGGAAAAGGCAACTATGAAAAAGTTATGAACAATATATTTTAGAGTTACATTTGAACCTTGAACCCTTGAAGGCTAAAATGAATTTGTTCTGTTTTTAAAACAACTCCATTCTCAAAATTGTCAGTGATTTATACAAATGCTTATTTTTAAAGCTTTACACCTCTGGTAATTTAGCTTTGTTTTATTTTACATACAGAAAAAAACTCTATGGTTAGTAGGTAAATATATAGGGGTGGCAGCTAGCTGTAGCACTTCCAATTTAGCACTGAAGCACACCATCCATGAAAATCAAACTATCTCTGCCAGAATAACACAAAACCTAATGAAATATAAGGGCTTGTGAAATATTGTTAACATAAATAGTTGGTTTTTTTTTATATTTGAGTTTTTCTAAGGTGGCACCAATCTGCTTTAGTCTTCTCCGCTTGGACTAGCCATTAGCTTGTTAATCAGTCAGGATGAAGCTTTATTTCTCTAAACTGAGCTGTACAAAGAGCTACGTTATTTATAGAGCTCGACCGATACGGAAACTTTGGCTATTGTCAATACAGATATCAGGAGGGGAAGGCTAATGCCGATAACCAATGGCTAAAACTTTTTAGCTTTGTCCACACCCAATAATTAATAAACAGCAGCTTTATAAACCTGTTTTAACACAAAGTCTTGAAACAGTCTTCTTAATGTGTGTTTACATTTTCTATCCTCCACTATTTATCCCAATCCTTAGTTTTTAGACCCACTGGCAGGTAGGCGTGGAGAGCAGGAATTTAAATTAAAAAAATGTATATTTAAACAACAAAACAAAGGCTCAAACTTACAGCAAAAACTTACGAGTGGATTATCAGGCAAAACAGGAGAAGGACAGAATGGGTCATCAGCTACACGGGAACAGAACAGAACAGAGGAGGATCAGGACGTCTGTGGTTGACAGATCAACGAGTGGACGTTTGGGTAGTGATGAGGAGAGGTTTAAATAAGGCAGAGGAAGAGTGCATAAGGAGTGCACCTGGGAAAGTTGCTGATTAGAGACAGGTGTGAATGGTTATTGACTGAAGAGACAGGCTGAGGATGAGAGGAAAATGACAGAACAGAGTGACAAATACAAGACGCAGAAAAGGAAAATAAAGACACAAAAATATAAAGAAAATAGACAAAGGGACAGATTATGTCACTATTCATCACAAAGTTATCAAGTGTGTTACAAAAATATAAATTAAACAAAGAAACGGCCTTCCCTGTTCATTGTTTAAACAGTCAGTCCATTATGGTGAAGTCTAATTAATACTGACCACAGCAGCGGTTTTTTTCTTTGCAGAGACGTAAAGATTTCAGACCAACAGTACATTTCATTGAGGACGACAAAGATAAAGTTACTAACACTGATATGTGTTTACCTCAACGTTAGCTTTATTGTTCTGGATAAAGTTTTACAAGGCAATAATCTATGCTAGGTTATTTAAACATTAGCTTGCTAATTTGAGAGGCACATAGCTCATGACAAGCAGGTTGGAGGATTGAAGAGAATTTATTATTGTTGATTTATTTTACAGATCAGTTACAATAAACATACCATGCTGTTCAGCAAAATACGCTACACAGTATTTAGCTGTTCCCTGCTTCGGCTGTGCTGAAAGTGAAACTTAAAGTGTATGACCATGACTTGAACGTAGTCCACATGTGCCCTCTGCTGGATACATTGTATAATTACGCTTTTTGCATGTAAGGACACGGCTCCTTCCCAGTGTTTATATCTGCGCACAATGGGACAATTATTACAAATACCGATATGTCCACAAATGTGTATATCGGCCTAAAAATATCATCCCAACCGATATATCGGTTAGGCTTTAAATATTTGTTCATAACTTACCAAAGAACCCCACTCCAGAAGATCTAAATTATCCCTGTAAGAGGAAATTATGGACTTCTGTGAAACAAGAGGCTGTGTCTTTGGTATTTGTGTTTGGGTAAAGTTTGGCGTTAATAACTTTGCAGTCTATTTTTTTCTATTTTATTCTTTGCAGGGCAGAACACCTGAGTGGTTAGAGCAGTCGTCCTCCAATGCGAGAGTTGGGGGTTCAATTCCACCAGCAATCACATGCCAAAGTGTCCCTGGGCAAGACACTGAACCCCTCATTGCCTCCGATGTGTGACCCATCGGTGTATGAATGTGATAAAGTAGTCAAGTCAAGTCATATTTATTTATAGAGCACAATTTAAAACAGATAGGCTGTTATCAAAGTGCTTAACACTAATGGTAACACTAAGAAATAAAAAGCAGTAAGAATATACCTTAAAAAATTAAAACAACAGCATTAAAATGAAGACATGGAACAAGATATACTAAATCAACTCACACAGTATGAAACGCCAGAGAGAACAGATATGTTTTTAGCAGGGATTTGAACACAGGAAGGGAGGTGGCATGCCTAATGTTGGGGGGTAGGTTGTTCCACAGTTTGGGACCAATGACTGAAAACGCCCGATCTTCTCGGAGCAAGCAGCTGATCGGATGATCTCAAAGCCCGAGAGGGAACATATGGTTCCAGTAGCTCAGAGAGGTAGATGGGTGCGAGGCCATTTAGGCACTTATAGGTCAGGAGGAGAATTTTGAAATCAATCCTAGTTCTCACAGGAAGCCAGTGTAGGGAGGACAGAACTGGTGTGATGTGCTCATACCTCGGTGTACCGGTTAAGAGCCAAGCTGCAGCATTCTGGACGAGCTGTAGCCGTGAGATAGAGGCCTGGCTGACCCCAGCATACAGTGAATTACAATAGTCCAGGCGGGTTGTGATGAATGCATGGACTAGTGTCTCAAGGTCGGGTCTAGACAGCACTGGCTTGAGCTTAGCTACCTGCCGCAGTTGGAAGAAGCTTCTCTGCAGAACCGAACTGATCTGTTTGTCGAACTTAAAATCCGAGTCAAAAACCACTCCGAGGTTTTTAACAGAGTGCTTCAGATAAGGCTGAAGGGAGTCCAGGTAAGTAATGACTCGTCTTTGAATAGATGCAGTAGAGTCCTGTATGAATGGGTAAATGAGGGTACAGATTGTAGTGTAAGAGCTTCGAGTATCTTGATAAGATAGAAAGGCGCTATATAAGTACAGTCCATTTACCATTTATTCCAATTAGCTCTCCAGTACAGAATGTAACTTGTTTTCATCTCTTCAACATATCACCCTTTTCTGCAGCTACACAGAGTTCAGGCCCCTGCCAGTCTTCAGACCTGACAAAATGGGACAAAGTCTTCTCCATGCTGGAGAACAGTCAGATGAGGGAGAACATGTTGCTTCAGTACACCAGTGATATTGTCAAAGTGGAGATGGGGTCACTGCGCGACGAAATGCTCAGGTAAGTTAAAAACAAACAAATAAATAAATAGGAAGAAATGAATTTATGTAATGATTTTCATAAACTGGATAAAAAAATAATTTATATCTGAGAAATATAGCTTTATAAGCAGCTTATTGTTTTGATCAAGTACTAACTTTTTAAAATACTTCTAATTCTGTTCAAAAGCTTCCTAAATGTATTAATTTTAGTTTAAATGGTAGTAAAAGCTTTTTAACACAAGACTCTGCTGCTGAAGGAAGCTATTTAAGCAAAGGAATAAAGATCTTACTCCATGAAGGTATAAATCTTTTTGGACTGGTCATTTGTCAGGTTTGTAGCCCAGTATGGTGGATCCTGTGGGACAGCAGTGGAGACAGCAGGAAGACAGATGGGCATGCAGATAGAGGCTCGTCTTCAAGAAACTCTGGAGCAGCTCAAACTTGATGATCTGACCTCTGTTGCTGGTAAATCTATTGGGAATCCCCACCACCTGGAGGCCATGCTGCAGCAGCTTCTCACAGCGGCACATACACAAGCGTCCAAACTCTCTAAGATGGAGAGTAACTGCCTCAGCAGCTCTGGAGCCGGGACGGGGACGCACTCCAAGACTGGATTTCGGCTCAAAGGGGATGAAGGGACTGGCCACAGTGAACAGGAGGTGACATCAGGGGAGGCAGTTTTAGATAGGGTCCTTGCTGCACTGCAGGTGGTTAGAGATGAACTAAAAGAATTGAAGTCAAGGCAAAGATCCCTACCTGCAGGTAAAACATCTCTTTAACCATCAGCAATATGTCTGTGTTCCTGTTCTGTTTCCTTTAGTTTGTGTTCATTCTCCATACAATTTGAACTTCCATCTTCAGTTTTTCTAAACTCAAGAAAAATACCACACAAGATCTTATGGGTCTTACTTGTAAATTCTGTCATAAAGCTTAAAATGTCCTCAAGAAAAGGCATTCTTTCTGTCTCACTAGCATCACTAGTATTGTATAAAACAATCGAGTCGAGGAAGATCGGCTGGCTCACAAGCATGTGGTGAACTGGAAATACCCATTTTGACAAGTCGCTCTTTAAAATGTAAAAAAAAAGTACAATTATTTAAGTCATGAACTGACTGAATACACCTTTTAAAAACTGGTCAGACTTAGTACAGAGGGGGTGCACTCAGTCAATCGCCACGAAAACCACACCAATGAGCCTCGAGAAAGTAGAACCAGATGGAAACCACCATGAATTTAAACACACAAAAACACTCAAAGGCATGTTGAAAAGTTTGAGTGGCAGAAATATGAGACACATGAACGGTCAGTTTTGGGATATCCTGATTTAGTAAGCAGCAGTGACAGCGTTAGGGGGAAAAAGTGGGTATGAAAAGAAAAAGAAGAGCAAAGAAAAAATTAGAAATGATGAAGAGATTACATAAAAAAGCACAGAGAGGGAAGCAGAATAAAATAAACAGATTAGGACAAAAAGAGAGACTGTAGCATGGTAAATTTCACGATCGCCTACAGATACTTCAGTTCAGTGATTTGTTAAAATGAAGATCTAGCAAAAAACACATTCAGATCAAATAATAAAATCAGGAAGATAAACATTTCAGAAAAACTGAAACAGAGTCAGCTATTTAAAGTTTAAAGTTTCAAAACCTGGGTAAAAAGATAAATAAGCTAAATACATTAATGGTCAGTGTTAGTGGAACCAATTCATACATACCATATTTTCCGGATTATAAGTCGCTCTTTTTTTCATAGTTTGGCCAGTCCTGCGACGTATAGCCCAAAGCAACTTATTTATGTTTTTTCCCCTATTCATGACGCAATTTTTGACTGACGCGTTAAATGTTCATTCATACTGACATGAACCAAAGAGTAAACATTACCATTTGCAGCCGCGAGAGGGCCCTCTAGGCTTTTGACAACTACATGTTGTTCCTCTACTGCTAAATGCCCCCCTCCCAAACATTCACTTAGAGACAACTGGGAAAAACTTAACACAATTAAAATGCATCCAAAAAGAAAATGCTAATCTGCAGGTTACAAACTGCAGGTAATAAAATACGCAAACGGGTGGGGTCCGCGCAGTCTGCCCGGGGGAATCAGCTTGGCGGAAGGGACGGCCGCTCAGAGGGAAAGGATCCGCCCTCGCGGGGGACCTTCCCCCTATGTCTGGCTGGCTCCTGCCAGGTGCATTTCCACCAGGGTGGTGTGCAGCGACCGGCTCTGGATCGGCACGGAAGGGTCCGGCGACGAAGGTGGCTTGCGGCTCCAGCCATGAGCTCTACAGCGTCACCCCGCCCGGACCTCGCCACGCACCACATGTATCACTTTGCTCTTCCTCCCTGCTCTGGTGGCAGAGGGATGGGGCCCGCTCAATCCTGGCAAGGCTGCCAATTGGGACGGACTGTTCTCAGTGTGACCCCACTGCACCGCCCAGGGCAAGGACCGGCGCACGTTCCCTGGGTGCAAGGGGTCAGTGGCGATGCATAATAAATGTGACATATACTTCAAAGCGATTTATATGTTTTTTCTCTTCATTGAGCATTTTTTGACTGATGCGATCTATACTCTGGAGCAACGTATAGTGCGGAAAATATGGTAGTTCATGCCAGAGTTTTAAAAAGGACCTTCTTATGTTAAAAGCTTCTACCCCACCAAATCTTAGCTTTACAGTGTATCTGTACAACTGACCGAGTTATAAAGACAGAGAGAGAAACGAGGGAAGGAACAATTCCTAATAAAATCCACTGACCACAAGCTGAGCTTTTAATGCCTCTCATTCAAAAAATCTTTAAATTAGGGGAGAGTGATCCATTTGCTTTTAAAGCTTATTGTAGCAGCAACAGTGGTAGCTTTTTCCAATTTTAACCTTCTTTCTCGCTCAAATTTGAAATGGGTTTAATGATTTATTCCAGCATAAGATTGTGTGGCATTTTGTGACATAAAATACGGCCTTTTGAAAACTAAAACTGGCTCTTGCAAAACTACATAAAGTAACATACATCTCCTTAGGCTCAGAAACACTGTATGTGTCTATAGCAGGGAAATGGGGACACCCATTCATGCTTTTTACAAATATAAAATTGGCCACATTTATTTCTCCCACCTAGCCTAGATTTTCTCAAACCTAATGAGCAAATTTCTTGCAGAAGAAATGTATTTTATTTGTTACAATGGTGGCCATCAACTTTGTTTTTCTCCTCAATTGATCTAAAGAACAACATGCGTTAGATCACCTTTGAATAACATTTTATTCTTCAGTTAAACATTTAACATATTGTTACGCTGTCTGTGGTTACTCAGTTGTTTTTCTAACATTTTTATTGCTCAATAAGACAACAAAAAGTATGTGTATAAAAACATTACTTTTACTTAGTGGTTAAAAGTGGCTAAATACATCTATTTTCTTGTTGCTCAGGGTGTGACATGGCGCTGCTCTTCCCTATGCGCTCCCGCCGCATCTACACCGCTGTCCTTCCAGTTGCCTCTCTGTCCCTGTCCTCCTTCACTGTCTGCATGTGGGTCAAGCCGAACATTGTCTCCAACAAAACTGTGCTCCTCTCCTACGGAAACCGCAAGAACCCATATGAGATCCAGCTTCTGCTTGCCCAAACCTCTGCCCTTTTTACCGTCGGAGGAGAAGCTCACCTGGTGGAAGCCGGGGGTGTGGTGAAGCCGGGGCAGTGGATCCACCTGTGTGGAGCTTGGTCTTCTGAGCAGGGCCTGGCGACTCTGTGGGCAGATGGTAATGAGGTAGCATCCTCACCCGGCGTGGCTGAAGGACACGTCTTACCTGCTGGAGGCTCGCTCCAGCTGGGGCAGGAAAAAAACGACTGCTACATAAGCAGCGCAACGGGCTTCGAGGTGTCGTTTGATCCAGAGATGGCGTTTGCAGGGATGATGACCTCGGTGAACATATGGGACAGAGTGCTGATGAAGAATGAAATTTCCCAGATGGCTTTGCAGCAAGGCCAGGGCTGTCAGCAGAGGGGGACCACAGTGGCGTGGGGTGTGACGGAGATGGTGCCACACGGAGGGGCTCAGTTTGTCTACTAATTCATCCTGTTTGTGATTGTATTCAATACCTACATAAAAAACGAGATTTCAAGCTGAAAGACACTTAAAACTCTCTTTATCAACTCTGTTACTATATAGTTTTAACTGTTTTATTACGAAGACTGGAATTTTTAGAATCATATAGATATTATCATGAAAACAAACAGGAAAAATCCAGTGCTGTGAGAGACTGCAGTTTTGTTTTTGACATATCATTTTCAACTCTTTCCATTACACACAGACATGAACTCACACATTCACACACTTGGCTCAGAAAACTTACATTATTCCAGGAAACACACTGCAAGCAACATTCACATAAAACATACCAAGAGTACAAGGCAAGAGTATTTTGTTAAGCTGCTTCTGAGCCACTAAACAGAGTAATGACCTAACAGCCAACAAGTTAAGGACAAGATCAGACACAGTGATGAGGGACTATTCTGTAATTCTAAGATGGAGCTTTCCATTTCTTTTATCAAGGTTTTAGAGAAGTGCAATTAAGCATTTCTACATATATTGATTCAGCAAAATAAAAGCCTTTACTTTCTATCTGTGCAGTTCTGTCTAATAACTAAGCCATTACTAGATTGTTATAACTGCAGGCAAAAGATATGAACACATTTTTTGAATACTGTTAAATACATGTAATACATGCTTGAAACTATGTACTTGCCTTTATTTTAAGCACAAAAACTTTAGACATTGTGTTATTGTTTTCTTACAACTTTTATAAATATGTGAAAGGTTTCAAAACACTTTTATATTACAAACCGAAACTTTGTGTTTATATGAATATGCTACATAAATCTTAATTTTGTCTCATTTCATTGCAAGATTATGTGTTCAGCTGTTTATTTTAGTTTTTCTAAGTTTGTGAGGAAAATGTTTACATTCTTATCTTGTATTTCTAATCTTGTATAGGTAAGTTGTATTATACTGTACATTGTTACTGTTCACGTGAAAATATAAAACAGAATGTATTTTGTACATAAATGTTGGCATACCATGTGTGGGTGAATGGAAAGCAAAGTATGAATAAACATTTCCAGTTTGGGTATCTGTCTTGCTAAATAAACATATTTTTCTCAATTATCAAGAGTGCATTTAAACCTTTAAAGTCTCCTTAAGTTACTTGTCATTAAAAATCTCTTATTCAGTTAATGGGGTAAATCGGTGTGTTTGACATGACTACTGTCAGGGGAAGTTTGGTAAAGGTCAAGGATGTTTATCACTAACTAATGTTAAATTAATGTTGAACCATGTGTGTGAGTTCAGAGAGTTCTTTTCTCTCAGAGAGGGGCTGCCGTGATCCTGCATGTACAGCTGGGAGGCCGAGGTCATCAGGCCTGTGGGAGATGATAAACGTATATTAACTATTCTCGCACACTGTCCGGTGCAGATTCTCGCAATCGGGCTTCAATGAAACATCTGTGTAAGTGACCGTCTGTCCTTGCAAGTAAAACTTGGTTAAAAAATCTTCTGTCATCTTGTGGCTTCTTTAGGTAATTAAGATGAATACAGAATATTTTTATCCAACGACTACCAACTCAAACTAGTAAAAAGTAAAATATTTCACGAATTTTAAATCTGATCTGTGTCTGTTCAATCAATCTTGAAAGAAGGGAAAATGAGAGAGAATCAGAGTTGTACATTTTGGTCTGTCCTCTTAAACCTCCTAGAAGGAAGAGCTGAAAAAGACCAGATGAAGAGTGCAGCTGTACTATAATACTGACTGACTTCGAACAATTCAAGCAGCCAGCAACTTCATGAAACCTCAGGAAACTGTGTCGGTTTGGGGAAGAATGAATGTTTTGTACAAAACTTGTACAAACTCCAGTCACAATGAATAAATTAGGACGTGCTGGCAGACCCCTGGGATAAGTGGTTCTATAGACCCTCCATTAATCTTACAAATTTACCCTAAAAATCACCATCTTGTCTGCATATACATTGATAACACCGGAATATTAAGCAAAGTAAAGTAAAGTGCTGTGTGTTGTCATCATTGTGTGTTCCCATACAATGGTGAAATTGGTTCTCTGCATTTAACCCATCACATGTGAGATATATCCAGGTGGAGCAGTGGGCAGCTACTCATTCAGCCTTTATTTATACAGGTTAGTCTCAGTGAGTCACGAGGACTCATGTACAAGAGAGACCTGTTTTAAACAAATATACAGATAATACACGACAATAAACAGTCATAAAATGCATATAAAATGAAAAGGAAATAAAAGTAGCGATATAAAACAAAATAAAATCAAGCTACATTACGAAACAAATAAAATACTAAAGGTTATGTAAGCGCCCGGGGAGCAGTTAGGGATTGGGTGTCTTGCTCAGAGACACCACGGCATGTGGGAATGGTGGGGAGTTGAGACGTGACTTTCTGGTCCCAGGTCGGCTGCCCTGCCTCTACCCCATCTCAGCCACAGCTAAAACAACAATTTTAAAGGCAAAAAGCTACGTTTGGTGAATTAAAACAATGTAATTTTCAGTTATTTTGAACTGAGCAATGGACTAATTGTGATGTATTTTTTTAAATATAGTATCACTCTTTTGAGTTGATTTATTTTTATTTATTTATTAACCTTAATGCAAATCCCACTGAGGTCACAGATCTCATTTGCAAAAGAGGACTGGGCCTGAACGCAGCCTAATATGAAAGTTTTTAGACTATTGGAGGAAATAGGTGTTTCTCCCACAAGGAGAACATGCAAACCACACACAGAAAGACCCACGTACAAACCGGGGCTTGAACCCAGGACCTTCTTGCTGTGAGAGAACAGTACTAACCACTAACCCATCGTCCTGCCAATTTAATATATTTTGACAAAGTTACATAACTCAAAGTCACCTGTTCAGTGTCAAGCTTTAAGAGTTTTATTACTGAGAATCAACGTGTGTTATGAAGGTCATGTTTGAAACTGAAACTGTATTAACTTTCTTTTCACTAAGAAGCAAACTAAGCAAACAAAATTAACTGAATCCATATGAAATTTGTCATTTATATTTATATTTTATCAATAAATGCATTATAGTTAACATGCTGTTAGTTCCAAGTATCAACAAGTTGTTTTTACCCAAGCACCCCCGGGTCACAGTTATGAGTCTCAGATTTGTCTCTTCTTGCCTGCTCCTCCCTTCGCCTCCACTCCTGTCTGCTCCACTCCAACTAACGTAGCCTCCACCTGCACAACCGCACCTCCTCCTCCGCGTCTCTCTCAGGTGGAGGAGTCAGTGAACATGATCTCTGACAGTCGTTTTTTTTTTTAATCTGCCAGTTTTGATATCTCTCCAGTTCTTTTTCAAACTTATTCTGAAAAAAAAAAAATTTTTATTTTGAGCACCGCTCTCGAACTTCCTTCCCTGACATGTGGACAGCTGTCAGTCAATCAATGAGGGACACACCTCAAATCTAGCAATACGCACTCTGATTGGTCAGCTCCTGGACTATCGGCCAGTGAGTCCACGTGGGTCACTTTTAATTTGGATCAATCAGCAACCACAAACATGCATTGAAAGTGATTGACAGATATTTTTGCTGGTTCTTTATTTTTTCCCCTTGTCCTGTCCAGCATTGTGACACTTAGAATTATTGTCTGAGTGTTAAAGTGATGCTGAACAGATTTACCTTCACAAGCAGAGCATTATGGCTGGCCTTAATGCTCTGCTTGATATAAAAATAAAATTTTATTAGAATTTGCTATGGGCTTGTTTCAGATGTAATGGACACGGGGACGAAAAACAAAGAAGATAACAAAGCAGAAAAGTGAGAGAAGAGTTCAAATGTAAAGATCAATCAACCTTTATTTAGACAGGTAAATCCCATTGAGCCTCGAGGACTCATTTACAAGGAGATAGGAATAGAGAGAGAGAGATGGATAAAGAGAACATTCAAAAAGCGTTCAATACAAAAACAACTGGACTTTATTTGTAACAGAAGACGTTTCGCTCCTCATCCGAGGAGCTTTCTCAATTCAAAGAGCAGAGAGTGAGAGATTCAGGTTATAAGGCTGAGTGAGATAAGACACACACACATATGTAGATTGGCAATTCACACCTAAACAAACATTAACAGCAAGAGTCTTTTGTTCCTCTAATACACAGATGAGGCCCCTCTGTTCCCATCAGGTGTGAAAAACCGGCTGGGAATCTGTTTTAAAGTTGCATTATAGGTTTTTGAAAGTGGTGTGAATTGCCAATCTACATATATGTGTGTGTGTGTCTTATCTCACTCAGCCTTATAACCTGAATCTCTCACTCTCTGCTCTTTGAATTGAGAAAGCTCCTCGGATGAGGAGCGAAACGTCTTCTGTTACAAATAAAGTCCAGTTGTTTTTGTATTGAACGCTTTTTGAATTCATCATGTCCTGGATGACTGAGAATCTTCACCAGCATAAAGAGAACACAAATCAACATCACTGAAGTCTGCCTCTAGACCTGCGGAAAAAAAGACAAGACAAAACCAAGAAACCACAACAACAAACAACATATATAATGATACTTGTAACATCATTAGAAAGTATTTTATAAAGTAAATTGTAATACAAGATGTGTTTAGTGGCCACCACAACCCAACTGAGTGTGTATCTGATAAACACCTGAATCTAAACACCTGTGTGAGCATGCTTATCACTATAAGGTTTCTCCATAAGAATGTTCAATAGTGGATGTGGGGACCTCACAAACCCGTCCCCACAGGACATGATGGTAGCACAGGGAAGACCGGAACCACAGACACACAGAGGCCCCCAAGCCCGAAACTCCGGGAGTCCCCCAACAGGGACACCTGCACCCCCCAGAGAGAGAAGCAAAGGGAAGCCCCGGGCGATCCCCAGCAGCCACAATGCAGAAACCCCAGGAGGCTGCAGTGACGAGTCCACAGGCCCCACCGGCAACCTGCCCCTCCAGAGTGGATCCGGCCATGGACACCGAGCCCCGAGTCCCGAGGCCATACCACCCCCCAACAGAGGCCCGACAGAGCCAGGGCACCCAGACCCCCGCAGGCAGCCACCAGG